CTGCTTTCGTTTCCGAGATATAGCGCCTTGGTTTTTCGGGTAATCACGTGAATATCTACAAGGAAGTTTACAGGTACCAACAAACTCGGTACTTGAACTCCTGATTGTGTTGAAAACAATGGGAGCAATGTTTTCCGAGTCTGTCTGGTCAGGTGGAGTGGATGTTTCAATATATTTCAATTTCGCGCCTTCTTTTCCTGACTGTGACGCAAAAGCAAAAGTAAAAGCAGCAAAGTCACGACCACCAGATCTTTCAGTTGTGATCTTTTAATCAGTTCACCCCAGACTTTGCAGCCTTTACGCGAATAAACAGTCTAGGGAGGAGTTACTATGTTAGTTCATTGGGTTAGGTATTTTAACCATGTTCTCGAAAATGTTTTGCTTGTGTACTCCTATCATTGGTGAAGAGACACCAGTTTCCAAATTATCGCTGGTACAACACGAGAGCTCATATTCACATTTTTAGGTATTAGTTTCAAGATCGATATAATTTAACAATAAAAAACAATTTTAAAAGAACGAGCATAATAATATAATGATAATCGATTTTACATTTCTATTCATTTTTGAAGTACAAAGCAAAAGGTGTTTCCCCAGCCTTAAATATACGATTAAAATTGTTCAAATACCATGTATTCATTACAGAAAGCAGCGAATGCCGTTATATTGCAAATAAAAACTGTATTTATTTCGAAGAGGACGGGACACTGAATCAATAAAGACGTTAAAAAAATAAGCCGATGTAGTTATTTTGCAAATAAGTAAAGCATTGTAAAATCAGATTCTCATTGACAGTAAACAAGCCGATCCACCTGGCGCTGCTCGCTTGAACAGATCCCAGAGCCGTGATTGGCTAAACCCCCGAACAGCTCGGGCCGCGATTGGGTGAAGAGTGACAATCGACACTCTGATTGGGTACAGCGCCACAGCGGAAGTTCCGAGAACATGTAGATACACAGGTGATGATGTTCTTCTTGGTCCAAATACTGTAGCCCCGGTTAACCGTGTGTGATGTATGAGCACGCTGGATATACAATAACACATCCATTTTAAGAGACGTCGCACTAAGGTCAAAACTGCATAGCAGACAAGAAATGTCATGGCATCCACAGCGCGTTCACGACTCCGATAGCATGTCACGATAGGAGTGCGCGCATCACGATCACATCGCGATATCCATTGTGACTTGCACATCATGTCATGTGTCATGGCGCCATTGTTGCGACATTAAGTCCATATATTGCGATATGGCGTACCCCCGACATAACGCCCACCCCCATGTCGGGAGAGGAGTCCACATATCGCGATATTACATACCCCGACAAAACGGCCCCGCCCCATGTCGCGACATGAAGGTCCCTGTATCGCGATATGACATGCCCAGCCAAACCGCCCATCCCCCATGTCGCGACATAGAGACTACATATCACGATATGAGAAAAATTGCCACGCCCATGTCACGACATGAAGCCCGTATATCGTGATATGACATACCCCTACAAAATGCCCCGCCCCCATGTCGCAACATGGAGTCCATATGTTGCAATAGGACATACCCTGACAGGACATGCTGACACCATCTTGCGACACAAAGTCCATATATCGCGACACGTCCTATCAGGGTATATCATATGAGGCCTTTGTTGCGACAGCGGTGGCTTGGAAGCAAGGCGCCAGTCGTGACATACACTGCCGCGATGTACATGCGATATACATGGGGTTCCTACCATGACATGCTGCAGAGGTCTTTTCGCGATGGTATCCCACAGTTACGCATTTGGCAACAGCGCGTCACGATAGGGAAAGAAAAGGGAAACGTGCCTGGCTTAGACAATAAAAACCACAGATCTTACAATCACGGTGATTTTACATACATTACAACCACAGGTTTGTCATAGATGGTTAACTTGTTGGCATCCGTCATGTCTTAGTATTATTCACTTCTAAGGAGGCTCATATGTTTATCGATATTGATTGTCTTTAAAATGTTAAGGGTACGAGCTAAACTGTAACAGACGCTTGAACTCGGCAGACGGGGTCACTGGAGGTCAAAGTCACCGTGCATGGTCACGTGATCACCGGAAACACAAGGCTCTGTATCTCGGGAATGAAAGCAGCACAAACCGGCACAAACACAGCACTAACGAATTAGGTGGGTTTAATCGTTTGTGCTCGGGCTGATCTTGGGCAAGAGGCAGTTCGAAATTTCTGAAGAATGGAAGTCTTAAAAAATACTACAGAGTTCCATCTGATGTATTGGAAGCCCTATCATATTAGTATCAAGTATTTTATACTACCCCCTTTGTACCTAGCGTGTGTCTGTTATGTAACGGTCAGTATTTTCCATATTGTAATGGACCATTCGACAGTTGTCCAGCCATTCTGAATGGGCTTCTCTCACCGTGAACTAATATGACTAAATATGCTTATTGTCATATGTTTGTTTCAATACTAATTTGTAGCGTTTTAGTGTTTTATAAGTCTCTGAGCCTTACAGGCTCCGTGGTATTGAGATTATGGTGACGAGTATTTGTCAAATTGCTCAAATAAATATATAGATCCTTTTTTGCGGGGGGCAAAGTGCAACTTGAGAAATAAGAGCTACTCACCTCTTGACGTAAATACTTAAATACTGTAACTAAGAAGGGACATTTATTTAAAGTAAAAAGTTTAGGTTTATTCCACGCTCAAAAGAGAAGAAAATAAATCATGTTTAATGGAGCCTTCTTCCGGAGTGATTTTTTTTTTTAATGTAGTACGATTCTGTTGTAAGCAATACAAGTTGTGATCTGTGACGCACGTTTAAGTGAAACTCTTATTGTAGATCAATAAGGAGACGCCTGCTGAAGCTCCTTTTCCAGACGAGACGGGATCTGTGGTCTTCTTTTCCATTTGCTTTGAGAGGCTAGTCCTTTTCCCTGGAAGTGAGCCCCAGGACAAAACTATTATACTTCAGTTACACACACCTATACACATAAGGAAAAAGTGAAATGGTCTTGAGGCAGTGATTTAAATTGCTAGGGGCGAAGACCTCGGGATAGAGAATAGTAGAGGATACAGTAAATGAATGACAAGGAAAGGGGATTTTAAGTTGTGATTGTGTTGAAAAAACTATTATATTCCATTAAACTGCACCTGCACCATTCGGAAAAAAAGTGAATTATTTTGTGGCACTGATTTTAAATACTGGGGCAAAGCCCCTTGAACTTTCAAATCTATAGTGAACAATGTTTTGATTCTTTTGTATCATTCCTGTTTTTAGTAGACTAGTAGAGTCTACAACTAGTAGATTGTTGTCTGCGTTCTAGCGTTTCAGATGTTATCCAGTACTGTAATACTAACTACTGTTAGAATTTTAATATAAATAGTACCTTTCTGTCAATTTAATAAGAATAATGGGCTGTTAAAGTGCTTTTTGCCAATAATCCACGGAATGCAATAAAGAATACACTACTCATCTTTTACACACGATCCCCTACGTTTTTAGCAGTAGACAAAAAGGTCCCCCGGGGGGCGCCAGAGTACACTTTTCGCTGCACAAACACTATGCAGAAAACGAGAGTACAGTATGTATAATTTTGTAATAAGATTAAATAAAAGAGAGACTTTTTCAAT